GATCAGATGCTTTAGTTGCTTGCCAATTTTCTTCAATTCACACTTCAGTTCTGCACTGTGCCAAATTGGGGGCTTGTTCCACGGCAAGCCGCCCCCCAAAATTGAGATCTTGGGTTCCGGTTGATCCCTCCAATTTCAACCTTTCAACATAGTCATCGAGCCACTCAAAATGCCCACATTTCTTCAGAACGTGAAAAACAGGGGGCCGGAGACGCATGAATCCTAGATCCACCACCCAGATCCACCGCCCTAATTCGAGGAAAAAAAGAAAGAAATCGGGAGAAATTAGACCATAGGATTGGTCAAGAACACAGATCTAACCTGCCCCGGCTGTGGCTTGCTCAAGCATTTCACAAACTCGCGCCCACGGTTGCCATTTTCTTCCCTCACACAAGTCAACGCTTCAGAGGCTCCATGTGCGGGCAATCGGGGCATCTTGTCAACGGCAGTGGACCATACTGCATCCATGATTGGCGGGAGGCCAAAGTCGAGCTAGACATCACTCACCAGCGGCGCGCTTCGTTGCCGAGGCAGAGGAAGAAGAAGGTGGGAAAGGAAAGGGGCAGGGCAAGCAATGGAGGGCGGGGGGTGGGGTGGGCTGGCTCGGGCTCGGGGCTGGCTCAGCTCGGGGCATGCTGATGAGCACGGGCATGCTTGCGTGGATAAGTTGTGGGTCCCACCCACATGCGAGTAACTGCTAGGTCCTGCGTGTCATAACTCGAATCGCTAACCCCTCGTGTTTTTCATTTCATGGTTAAACAGAGCCATGTCGCATTGGAGCTATTGTTTGCTTCTAAAACGTGCATCACAGCCATTCATTCCAACAATGTCGCACTCCTTTCAATTCGCATGAAAAACGTCGCACAGGAGCTATTGACCTCAAAATGATCATCTCACTGTTGCTGAAACATAGGGCGGGTGCTGGTTTTTTCATAAGAAGTTCCAGACTTCGAGCTGGTGTATTTTTCCTTTATTTCCTGCAATTGCTAAGGAGTCGCTCATGACAGCGTTTGGCACTCCATGTAAAGAAGATTGTGTGATTTTGTCGTAGTTGCGGCCTGTAGGATGTAGCGACTTCTATTTCTGAAACTGCCACAGTCTCAAGCGCCTTATCATCCATAGTTTTAGAAAGTTCTAATTGAGTGCCTCTGCACCCTTCTGCTGCAGAATTCATATGTAATAGCATCTGTGACGAACCCTCTTTGACTTGATCGATACAAGTGTCCCATGCATGGCCCGATGGTCACATAGAATTGTCAGGTGGAGTTGGCACCGCCACCCTGAGATCCTCCTTATCCGTCTTAACAAGGATGACGATGATGAGAATAATACGTAGCCGGCTAATGATCGTGAGAACTAAGAAGGACGGTGATCGCACCGGCAAAAGGCCAAAGAATGAAAAGGTAGCAGGGAAAATTTCTTTTACGCCTGCAGCTGAGTTGGTGTTCTGTATGTCGCCCATGAGCAAGGCGGCATTGTTGTTGTTGCTCACCCCGCTGCCGGCCATCCAGTTCAGCTCTTTGGGGTGCACTGAGCTCCTCACCGCCTTTGGAGTTACATCCATGGTGGATAAGGAGGAGCTCGTCGAGCATGACGCTATGCGGTCTGTGGTGTGATGGCCGACGAAGCCAGGCGGGCACTTTGCAGTATGCATCACCATGTTTTTTAAGTTGAGATCATGCTCTCCTTTGCAAGTTCTGTTTCATCAAGAATCATCATTATTATCGCCATTTGGCATCATCTTGGTCATCATCCAACGAAAAGGAATCCATCAGCTCGGCATAGAAGTACCCCTTGTGTGAATCCATCACATTTGCTTCAAAGTAATGAAAACATAAACAAAAGTGTTATGACGTCCACCAAACACTTGTCATCCAAGGCGTCCGCCATGGATGACATAGCCAGGGGCGAATGGTACCTGGGCGACATGTGGATGCTGGGGGGATGCAGTAGCAACATTGACAGTAAGGCAGCTGGGTGGAGCGGCAGAGGTCCTGCAAGGTCTAGGCGGTGTTCAGGGTTGCGGCAGTAGTTGCAGGCTCTGAGAGCGGAGACAGAGCAAAGGAGGAGGGACTGAGTGTGAAAAACCCAGGCTTCGGGCGGTTTTTTGAGTGGGTCCGGACTATAAGAGTGCGACGTGGTGGACATCCGGACTTCCCGAGACCTTTCTGATTTGGGATCCCACTACAGGATTACGACTGTTCAAAGTGGTTCAGTTAGATTTAAAATGCTAAGTTGGAGAAGTAAAAAGTGTTTGAAGCAGCAAATCCAAATATAGGTTTGAGCGTTTGCATTGGAGATGCACTTACAAATATACAATCGAAACACATCTAGTTTGGATTCGTATTCCTAATTGGAGCAGGGGTTCGGTGTGTTGCTTTTAACCGGCTTTGGGGTTTTCCATCTCCGGATGGTACTCATCATCTACCTACACTAGTATAACGCCCGTGCGTTGCCACGGGCTTTAAAAAATTTACTTGGTGCATATATAACATAATACATGTCAGATTTCATGTGTAGAAAATTGAACTTTACTTTACTTGCAATGTATATTTAGATAAAAAAATGCAATTCAACGACGTAGACTAACTCAGCTAATACACAAAATAAAAGGAAGTTGTTTAAAAATATAGAACAACTTTATCATGCACTCCATTACAAACAATAGATAACACCTGAACGCCTTTTTATGCAGTTTCTATCTAGGATTCTAGATAACACCTGGACGCCTTTTTATGCAGGTGCTATCTATCAAATGATGGGTCGTCTAACGGAGCATTTCCATTGTTATTATCCATTAGTTAAAGACAAAACATGGAGGATTTGTTCCTTAAAATTAATGTTCCAAGATGCTGCAACCAGAAACTTGATTGCGTTACAGAATTGTGTGGAAAACTATTACATATGAAATTAGGAATTTGGAACCATACATGTTACCATTAGGAAATACTGCAGCAAAAGACATACGCAAAATACTTCAGGATCACTAAGAGTACATACGCAGGGGCAGATACTCCCAATCACGGTTATAATAAGTTATAAAAAAGATTGTTTCATATTATTGAAAAAAAGTACATAAAATCAGGCGATCGAGCGGCTAAGAAATCTCACTGAAAAATATAAAAACAAAGTATTTTAACTCTTGAATAGATTTAGTGAATCCAGTGCTTGATTTATTGAAGATGCAAGGACAAATTCAAGTATTACCAAGGTGTTGGGATCTATGCCGAAAGGAATTTCAACTTCTGACAAGCTGTGACAAAAAGAATGATGGGGAATTAGGGGCACATGGCAAAGGCGCTTGGCTAAATTCAAGAAATCAAACAAATATCACAGGGTGGGGAAATTGATCTGATCTTGTCAGGGAAGATATTTACCTAATCAAACTAATATAATCCATTTTCGAAGAGAATTAGTCAAATCCTAGACTACTTTCGTCAACCAAATCAAGAACTGCATGTTTGCAAGAGGACACATACGAAGGGAAGAAGAATATCATACCTTGTAAGGGAAGAGCAATAAATCGACAAGTCGCCGGCGGGCTTGGAGGAGGCCCAGAGCACACTGTCTTCTCCACTCATTCGCGAGGCTGCGCCTCACCCTCCCAGAAACAAAACGACCTACATGCTCCCCTTTAATAGTATAGATTAAACTGTTGATTATTCCAGAAAGTAATAACCATAATTAAAAATACATACAAGGAAAAACAACAAAAATAATCTTATACTCCCTCGGTTCCTAAATATTTGTCTTTTTAGAGATTTCAAATGGACTACCACATACGGATGTATATACACATATTTTAGAGTGTAGATTCACTTATTTTGCTCCGTATGTAGTCACTTGTTGAAATCTCTAAAAAGACAAATATTTAGGAACAGAGGGAGTATAATGCATTGCATACCTAGTTGATATGGAGGGGTTGGCAAGAACAGTCTGAGAACTGTGATATTTAGTTTTCACTCACATAAAACCTATAGGCTGACAAATAATAAGCTAATACATCATGTCCAAAATAATTGGCAAAGCATGTTAATTTCAAAAGGGAGCATCGTCAATACAATACGAACATTTGCATTTGTGCTCCATATGCATGACTGGCATGCCACGTAACGTCCATCAAACTTTGGTAATTATATTCAACCCTTTTCATATAAAGCACACCGTCATTGTAGGGAATTTATTATTAATGTCAGGTTCCATTGGATGTACTAATCTGACAACACAGTCAAAGAGAAGAAGTTTAGAATGGGTAGCCTCTATTAAGTAACAATATATCTTCCAGCACATAGTAGTGGGCTAGTTGGTGAAATAACCGTACCAAACTGCATGGAGAGTAGCCATAATTCATAAGTATTATTAGGCGTGGTCAAAACTCAAGAAGGCCCATCTTAGCATTCCTTTAATCATTTTGAAGGTAATTCGCCGGTACTCAATCAAGTCGCCTTAATAGCAGCCATATATAGAAATGTGTTCTTACATATATGAGAAGAATAACTCGTTAGTAGTTGTAGCTCATTCCAAGAGGGAGATTTATTAAAAAAACAGAATAAATGTACTAAGTTTTTGCCCTTCAGATATCTTGGCATACAAATCCAGCATGTGTTATGGAACCTTGTAATGGGAGTGGTTTGCCAAGTCTTGAATTCATGGAAGAATCTTACGAAATAGGCTTTCGCCCCGCTATATAGATATAGCAACAACCCAATACAACCAAGAGTCCAATGCTGGGGCAAACAGCACAAGCACGCCCAAAAGAAGAAAAAGAGAAAGAAGAGAGAAAATAATGTCAACAGCGTCGGATCGACGAAAATGATGATGACCCGCAACCGCTGCGCTCACCGGAGATTTACCACCTCGCTCCTAGCACCTTGAACCTCCGCATACCAAGCAACACCTTCAAGAAGGAACACGACAACAATGACGCTACTGCCCGGACAAGTCCTAGGGTTTCCCCCGGTACGCGGACGGGCATGGGGAAGGGGAATACCCGATGCCCTTCAGGAAGGAACGGTGGCGCCCACGGGTGTCACCGCGTCGGTGCGGACATTTGGGGCCAAACAGGTTGCTTGACGGAAAGATTGAACAACATTATTTAACCTTCTTATTATCATTTCACTCAGGAAGAAGAAAATTAAGCTTAGCCAGTATAGCAAGTAGCGCACTGCCGATATGAAATGTCGCTAAAGAGTAAGTCATGTAGCTTAGCCAGTATAGCAAGTAGCACACTACAGTTTACAAGAATCTTCCTATTTCTCATGGATTAAATAGACCAATTATTTTCAGCAATTCCGCAAACAGACACCTAACATTATGCCCTGCTTGCTAATTCTGAAGGATGCAATGTTAATGCATCAACAGTAAGTAGTATGCAGGCTTCTTGCAAATCTCAAATGAGTGTTTTCAATGTGGAAGATTACATTGATGTAGGCAATTACGGAAGCCAGCAAACATTTAGTTATATTTATGATGCTTGCTAATGTGGCTTTAGAAATAAAAAATCATAACAAGCGTTGCCCACTAGTAGAAAACGGAGCTTTAGCGCCGGTTTGTAAGGGTCTTTAGTGCCGGTTCCATAACCGGCACTAAAGGGTGGGCACTAAAGGCCCCCCTCCCCCCCCCCTTTAGTACCGGTTCGTGCCGAACCGGCGCTAAAGTGCCACCACGTGGCGTGAGCTCGCGCCCTGGTATGGGGGACCTTTAGTACCGGTTGGTAACAAGCGTTACCAACCAGTAGGTTTTTTTTTTGAATTTTTTTTTTACATTTTGGAAAAAAAATTAATTTTTTTTATTTTTAATTTTTCTGAATTATTTAATGATTTAGTCTCTAATCAGCTCTCTTAACTGCTCAAGTATGGATCACTCATTCCAAATCATCTAACTTCCCGACCGGTCACCCATCCCTCTCACTACTCCAGCCCGAGCACGCTTAACTTTCGGGTTCTATTCTCCTTCGTTTCCGAGTCTGCACTTGTTGTTTTCCTAACAATAGTAAGATGTCAATCCTATTAACTCTCAGAAGTTTAGCTTGAGCATGAAGTCACACATTTCACCGTTTGAGTTTGAAACTATTATTCTAAAAAAACAGTAATTATTTAGTAACACTAATATTTCTTAAATAAGTTTGACCATAGTTTGACCACAGTTTGACTATAGTTTGACCAGATTTGACCAAAATTCAAAAAATTGAAATAATTATTTAGTAACACTAATATTCTTGAATAATTATGTAGTAACATTAATACTTTTGAATAAGTAGTTTGACCAGATTTAACCAAATTTTTTTAAAAAAACTGAAATTTAACCATATCTTTTTTTCCTTTTGGAATTTGAGGATTTTAAAAAATTCCAAACAGGCCGTAGGCCGTCTCCATCGGATGCGGATTTTCGTGCTGAATTTTTTGATATATTATACGTTTTTTTCCGACATCGTATGCAAAAGTTATAGCCGTTTTACATTTTCCCTACACTTTTTGCAAAACATGTCCAAATTGTAGTTTTCAAATTTTCCTAACTAGTAGATGTAGTAATATAACTACCTCTCGAAGGATTTTATTTTTTAAAGTTTTTATCATTTTCTTTTGATTTTTTCAGAACTGAAATGGTGACATACGAGGGGGGGGTAGAGTTTGAAAATTGCCCTATAGTGCCGGTTTGTGTCACAAACCGGTACTATAGGTCAGACCCCTTTAGTACCGGTTCATGGCACGAACCGGTACTAAAGGTAGACCTTTAGTACCGGTTTGTGCCACGAACCGGTACTAAAGGTGATCGTGGAGCCCCGGCCTGACGCCAGCCTGCCACCACCCCTTTAGTACCGATTCGTGCCACGAACCGGTACTAAAGGTTCAACACGAACCGGCATTAATGCAAATCCGTTCGAACCGGCACTAATGATACCATTAGTACCGGGCCAAAATCAAACCGGCACTAATGTGCTTCACATTTGACCCTTTTTCTACTATTGGCCTAACCTCTGAATTAGCTCACCAATTGCTTCTTGTAAACTGCATCAGAAGCCTTCACAATGTCTTGGATAAGGATACACAAACCCCAGTCTTTCCTTGATAAAATGAAATGAAAAGGTAAGAGTTGTGGGTAAGGTCAGTTCAGGGAGGGATGGAACGACGAAACGAATGAAACGATAATTAAATAGAGCATGATCAAATGCCCGTCTTTCATTAGACTCACTCTGGTTTCAAGCGGTGCACATCATAGTTACTTCATGGTTCTAATCTAAAATGCAGCCCTAATTCACTGGCAAATGGCAGACCGAATACAAAATTTTACAAATATCATTTTACATACAAAAAATAAAATCACAACAAAGGGTCATTTTTTCGTTAGTTGGAACAGAGGGCCAGTTCAGGGTCAAACATTCCAAATACTACACTAAGAAACCTAGCGTGGCCTTCTAGTTTATAAAAGGATAGGCAATGAATGCTCAAATAGACTTCTACACTGATAATTTAATTTGTGAATGACAAAAAAATTATGGATTGATATTTTAATTTGGAAAGGACAAAAAATGATATACCATTTTTCAGTGTTGAACACAACTGAATGGAAAACAATCCACCAATTCCTTGCCACGGCTAACATACCTATAGTATACTTTCCACCCCTATTTTACCAGGTTCGCCTCCCCATGGTATCCCCCTCCTCGGCAGGTCCTTGCTCCAATATAATGCATGAATGCACCCCCTCCAAATCCTACATGTGCAAGAAGAACACAGCCCATTATAGAAGTCCTCAGTGATCCACTCAAGTGGTGAATCAGTCCACCAAACAAACGGAATTAACCGATGAAAGGGGCAAGAGAAATCACCTCTGATAAATGGCAAGTTTGAAAATGAGAATGATGATCAGGGGCGTAATCTTCAACTACAACGATTACCTGAGATCCTCAACAATAATTTAGTACGTAACCAAGCTCATTTGGATCCTGCAAGGGACATCGAAAAATGTTTGAGCACAAAAAGGGTGTCAAAGAGTGGCAGCCCATAAGGAGCAGAAAGTGATGAAACAACACAATAGCAGAGGAAACGCAGAAATGTACAGCTTTTTTATATCACTACTAAACCCGAGATCATCCTAGAAGCGGAGGAACTAAATAATTACAGTAACATAGGCGCATCAACAACAAAGGAGCATAGATAAACCCACAGGAACACAAATTAGTTTCTTATAATCAAAGTTTCCATAATGATTTACCAGAGTACATGAACTGACAACCCAATCGAGCAGAACTGGGGAGAATACTGTGTGCTGCATAATTAAAAATAATCAATCTGTAGGTTTAGTAATACAATCTTGATTAATAGACAGATCCATTATGTCAGTCAATGAATTTTTTGCTGGAGTCAAGGATGCGAGACATTTATTATATTTGTTGCTTGTGTTGGGAAGGAAATCAAATCAAACGTTCATTGTTTTTAGTTGTTATTCCTAATAGAGTAGCACATGAAAACTCAAACAAAATAAGAAAGTGTTGTGGCCATTTAATACTGAAACCAACAGGGTACTAAGAAACTGATGGATATAAACTTGTTATTGTCATGCTTGCTGGAGAGAAACAAAAATAGAAACACAATTAATAATATGCAGTGCTAAATTAACCCATGAAACTAATACTCAATGTGACTGCACGCTGAGCACTGTCCACCTCATTTTGAGTTTGGTTACCCAACTCTTTCAGGCTGAGTTGCAAAAACTTCAAAATATGTAACTCTTTCAGAGCAGATAAAAGTTGTGTTTAAGGCGGAACTTCCTCCGTCCTCAAAGAACATGTAAGCTAAGTGTTGTCCACCTCATTTTGGGAATTGAGAGAGTTGTGCTCCGTCCTCATCCTTATGATAACTAAGTGTTGTCAAGGAGTGAGCCTGAAGCATGTAAAAGTTCAGAAAAGTTAGCAATGCATACCTGGATTGTTTGTGTTCCTCAAAGAATACGGTGACCCTGTTGACAGTCGTGGTCCGGCTGAGCTTCAGTATGATAGTGTCTGCCCCCGGAGATCCAGACATAATCATCAATTTATCTAGCACAAAAGAGTTCTCGCAGATGCCATCCTTGACGTTGTCGCCCTGTTAACACAGAAGTCTATGTGCCAATGAACCTTCTCCCTGAGTGTAACGAACATCAAATGGTTGTGATTCTTTATGTGCTCAGTTACGAACCAACTATTTATTAGCTGCATGTAGCAACCTGATCAGCGTGGGACACTCGTACATGCATGATCGGCTATTCTCAGCCTTAGGCTTTCCCTGAAAAAATTCAAAAGAAAAGTGATGGCACATCAGCTCACTCCATGATGCCTTTTTTCAAACTAAAACTGCAAAAAAAAAAAAAAACCCACATATAGTATCTCGTACCACAGAACTTAGTGAACAACTGCACTCTATCTTCTGCATTTAGTCGGCTTTCCCCATATCTAATACCGAATCCAACTTCCCATGAATACAGGTTGTAGAAGTCGTATTCCTTGCCCAACGAATCGAAACTTGTTCCTATTTCTGGTTTAATCATACTATTCGTCGGTTCCTCGGCAAACTTCCTTATCGATTGCTCCAGTGTGCTCATCCGTGAAGCGCAGAGAGTTCTGTCCGGTGGTGTGTTGCAGATAGTAGTGTTTTCTCAGGAAATTATGAACTGGTTTGTCAAAACATTTAATCCACGGACTCCTGATATGCAGCCTGGTTAGCAACGTTTCTCCTATCTGAAATTCTAAACACCTTACGACATCTAACTACCTGAAACACGCCGAAACCAAATTCCTGCTCCCATGATTTCAAATTAACTAAATATATTGTTTGGCGAATCACCATCAAGAGTCCTTGAACTTAAATAGTTGTCTATAAATGCGCTCAAATTAAATATACAATCAGACCACGGGGACGAGACGGCTCACCTTTTCGTCCATCCAGGTGCCTCCCGATTAACCTCAGGGCGCAGTCAGATTCACCAATTGAATCCTCTGTGCCAAGAGCGCCAGCCTCCCCCTGGGTGGCAGCCTTAGCGGCACCGGATCGGAGTGCTTAAGGTCATCGGCGAACTCTTGCCGAAGTGGGAACCTGCGGGCGCCGGATTTCAAGGAAAGGTTTGTAAAAATCAATAGAGGGGTGGCGGACAAAAGGAGCTTACCTGACCACCAGATCGAGCACGAACTCCAGGCCATTCTCCTCCATCCTTAAGCACTGGAGCGGAGGTGGAGGCGACCAGAGCCGACGGCGGTGCGGCGCCGAGGTTGGTGCGACGGCGAGCTCGGGCGGTGAGGCGGCGGGGCAGAAGCTGCATGAGACGGCGGCGGGGACCTCGAGGCCGAGCTCAGGCCATGGCTTCCCTGGCTCCAAAGGCCGTGGCGGCGGCGCCGGACGCAGCAGCGGGGCGAGGAGGAGGCCGGCCATCGGGGAGGCAGGAGCTCCTCGTCCCCTCGATCCAGATCGGGATCGAGGAGGGAGCAACAGGGGCGCGAGGGAGCGGGCGACCCGCGGGCGGCGGTCGGGGCGTAGGTCTTTCTTCGTAGGTTAACCGTCTTAGATTTTTTTAGGACGATTTTCTGTCAATGAATCATAGTGTTTCACAAAGGGTCTTGTGGTAGCATATCGTTTTTTGTCGGTTTTGAGGGCGGAAGGGGGGAATCGCTGGGTTGCGGGAGGTGGGATTCAGGACGAAAATTAACCGTCTCTTGTGGGACGAAAATTGATCAGCGGAGACTACCAACTGCTTCATTAGGAGTAGAGATGCCTCCATAGCACTCGTATAGGCCAGTAGGCCCTCCCGCTTTCCAATTAACGTCGCTCGACAGTCATCCCTAGCACTGCGACACCCCAATCTCTGACGCATTGCTTCCATCTAATCATCTGAAACTTGTCTCCAGCCCTAACCCCAGTCCCTTCCCCTCGCATGGACCGCGAATGATCTTTTTTTGCGGGTGGATTGCGAATGATCTTCTCGCCACGACCACGACGAGGACCACCACACCATCCACGACTACGGCGGGGACCGCCACCGATGCCACAACCATGATCATGAGTTGCTGCCACCGCTGTCGCCATAGAAATGGAAGGCCCACGACCGCGACGAGCGCGTACAGGAAGGGAGGAAGTGACCTAAGGCCTCGGTACGGCCACCTCTGAGGAACGATGAAAGGCCAAGGCGAGAGCGCGGGAGGTTTGAGGACATTGATGCGTATGGTGATGTTCGTCTCGTGAGGACAAGAAGCTGGAGTCAGGTGCTAATGGAGATTCACGGAATGGCGCAATGCTTAATGTAAGTATCTTGTATTTTTTTTTACCAAACACTTATTGTGCATGGTGCCCGCCATGGACGATGTCGGCAGGCAGATGTGGCGGCGGCAACCTTGACAAAGAGGCGGCTGGATGGAGTGACTGAGGTCGGGCAAGGCCTGAGGTTTGGGGGTGTTAGAGTTTGAGTAGTATACATAATGTAATCTGAAACTATCTCTCTTTCTCTCCCGTAGCCTTTCCTATCTCCTTGTATTAGCAGGATTCCTAATCCTTTCCCTGTACACCACGGCAAGGTTTTTGCCCCAAATAAATAAACAGCCGCGGCTCCCTTACGAGGGAGTAGGAACGCTTCCATCAAATCTAATATGGTATACAGAGCCTAGTCTCTTCCCACGTCTAGCAATTCCCTCGAAACAGAAACCCAAAAACACCCAGCTATCGTCAGAAACCCTATCGCCATGGCTGGTTCTAGCATCGTCGTCCTCAACCTCGGAGCTCCGCCAACAGAGAAGCTCACGAAGGGAAATTTTCTTCTCTGGAAAGCGCAGGTAATGCTAGCGCTGCGAGGCGCACAAGTAACTGGCCTCCTCGATAGCTCAGATGCCGCACCGCCAAGAACGGTGGAGGTCACGAAGGCAGACAAGACCATGAACATTGAGCCAAATCCTCTATATGGACCGTGGCTGGCGAAAGATCAACAAGTTCTGAGCTACCTGTTGAACTCGCTCACCCCTGAAATCCTAGCGCAGGTCATTGGTAAGGAGAGTACTCATGATCTATGGATTGCCCTTACCACATTGTTTGCTGCGCAGTCCCAATCCAGAATAACAAACCTGAGAATTGCCATCTCCAACACCAAGAAGGGCAATATGTCAAGCAACTCCTTCATCGCCAAGATGAAGAATCTCAGAGATGAGCTTGCAGCCGCCGGTCGCCCATTGACCGATGGCGAGATGGTCGACTATATCCTCGCCGGCCTTGATCGGGACGACGATCCCATAGTTGCAGCAGTCGGCGCAATCAAGAACTCAATCACCGTTGATGATCTTTTCTCACAAATCTCAGCCTTCGAACAGAGGATGGAGATGTTGGGCGACGGGCCTTCAAGCTATCGTTCGTCTGCAAACGCCATATACAGAGGCCGTGGCCAGTACCGCAACAGAGGAAGTCGCGGGCGAGGGAACGGAGGGCGCGGCCGTGGCAATTGCGCCCCTTCTTCTTCTTCTCGCGGCGGTGGAGGAGGCAACTATCAGCATCGTCAGCAACAACCTCCACAACAACAACAGCAGCAACATGAAGGGGACTATCCAGAGTGCCAGATTTGCTATAAGTTTCATCCCGGAGGTGCCAGGGCCTGCTGGCATCGGGATGATGATGACCATGAAGAGAAGAAGAAGGCCAACCTCGTCACTAGCTCATACGGTATTGATACAAATTGGTACGCAGATTCCGGAGCTACCGAGCACATAACGGGAGAACTTGACAAATTGACAATGCGAGAAAGATACCATGGAGGTGACCAAATTCATACAGCAAGTGGATCGGGTATGAAAATTTCTCATATTGGTAACTCAATTGTTAAAATCCCCAAGAAAAATTTGCATCTTAATAATGTCTTACACGTCCCTCAAGCATCGAAATTTTTTGTCTCAGTTCATCGATTTACTCTTGATAACCAAGTTCTCATAATATTCTATCCTTATTCTTTTGTGGTTAAGGACTTGGCAACGAGGAGAGTCATTCTTAGAGAAAAGTGTGAGTGAGGCCTCTACCCACTCATATCATCTGTTTCTTCATCATGGTCCAATAAACAAGCGTGGAGTATTACAAAACCATCTTCAGCAAAGTGGCATCGTCGCTTGGGTCATCCCTCTTCAACTATCGTTCAACATGTTCTTAGTAGAAATAATCTTCCTTATGAGTCTAGTGTTGAGTCAGTTTGTGATGCGTGTCAACAAGCCAAGAGTCATCAGTTACCATATCCTATCTCTACTGGTGTGTCTACTGCTCCTTTGCAACTTTTTTTTCCAGATGTGTGGGGACTAGCCCTTACATCAGTTGGTAGATTCTCATACTATGTAAGCTTTATTGATGATTATAGTAAATTTACTTGGATTTATTTGCTAAAGAAAAGATCCGATGTATTCCAAGTCTTTACCAATTTTCAAAATCTTGTTGAACGCCAGTTAAACTCCAAAATCCTTGCTATGCAAACGCATTGGGGTGGTGAGTATGAAAAACTAAATTCCTTTTTTTTAAAAATTGGAATTTCACATCATGTCTTCTATCCACATACTCACCAACAGAATGGTTCTGCTGAACGAAAACACCGTCATGTTGTTGAAGTAGGGCTTGCATTATTAGCCCATGCATCCATGCTTCTTAAATTTTGGGATGAAGCCTTTCTTACTGCCACATATCTTATCAATATTCGTCCTAGCAAAGTCATTAAATTTGAGAATCCTATTACACGCCTTTTCGGTATCACTCCTGTCGGGGATATACCCCGCGGTATGACCCGGCCAGAATCATGATTCTCCCGAGCTTGGCGACTCACCAGAGACCTGGCTGGAGCTTGGCGACTCACTGACGATCCGCCCGGACATGGCAGTTTACATGTAACCCGCCGGGATATTGTGGCTCACTGGAGACCCGACAGGCGGATCAAACGGACAACAAAGCCCAAGGCCTAGCAGGCCGGTTTATACTCTGGTGGGCCGGCTTAAAGAGGAAAGGGATGACGAATATTTCCTTTACGAGGAAGCAAGACCCGGACTTGTATTCAACTTATGAGAATGATAGACTAGTCCTAGTCCTACTAGGACTCCACATGTAACCCGCCCCTTCAACATATATAAGGAGGGGCAGGGCTCCCCAAAGAGGGACAGAAAAGAATATCTAGGGCTAGACACAAAGAGCCGGCTGACCGGCGAGTTCCTCATGATTATAATGAGACCTAGCTACAAACAGCATGTAGGGTTATTACCGGATGATGTTTTCCGGGACCCGAAGCTGTCTAAACCCTTGTCTTGTGTTGCGTCTCTCGATCCCGCTCAACCCCTCTCAAGCTACAACATAGATGCGTTGGCCTCGCGACTAAGTCCTCACACTAAGGACATCTGCCGTGACAATTCCACGACAGTTGGCGCCCACCGTGGGGCCCGCGCACGGTGATGATGAGTTCTTGAAGGGATCTCTCCTAAAGATCGAGAAGTTCGCGATTTGCCGGGTAGAGAAGAACCGGTGCAGAAGGATCTAAATTAATTCTGAGTTTATCAATGAAGATTGAAAAAGTTTTGGCAGCTGTATAAACCAGACGAGAGTCAAAAGATA